CCATCTTGGCCAGGCTGGTCTTGAACCCCTGACCTCGTGACCCACCTGCCTCGGCCTCCCAAAGTGCTGGAATTACAGGCATGAGCCACCGCGCCCGGCCAATTTCAATTTTTTAATAACTATGGGCGTCCAAATTTTCTATTTCATTATGAGTCAGTTTTGATGTGTCAGTTTTAGTCCTCTGGGAAGCAGATGCTGAGATTGAGCTATGAGAACAGAGATTGAGTGGGAGTTTGGGCAATGTCCGTGGAAGACAAAGCAGGCAGAGAGCAGGATTGGGTATAGAAAGCCTTGGGACCATGAAACAGATCTGACGCCTGGGAAAGGAAGGGGGAGAGGAAGCAAATGCAGATCTGAAAATGTCTTAGCCAACTCAGTGGGATGCTGCAGAACAAACACTGCCTCTTAGAGAAATCCCATAATGGGTAGAAATGACCAGGCTCTGGTATCACCACCATGTTCAATAACTAAAGACCGCCTTGGGAGAGTACTGAAAGCTGCCATGAATCTGGAATGCCATGAATCTGGAATGTGTGATAACTGAAAACTATCAGCCAATTGCACCCTTCTTGGCAAGTTCTTTCCTGAAAGGAAATCAAAGCCATGCATTTCCATGGTTAACACATTTGGTAAATCTGTTTTCCATGGCATTTGTCTATTTCATCCTAAATTTTCTTTCTTTCTTTTTTTTTTTAAAGATAGAATCTCACTCTGTTGCCCAGGCTGAAGTGCAGTGGCATCATCTTGGCTCACTGCAACCTCCGTCTCCCTAGCTCAAGCAATCCCCCCTCAGCCTACCGATTAGCTGGGACTACAGGCACAAGCCATCACACCCAGTTGATTTTTGAATTTTGTTGTAGAGATAGGTTTTTGCCACATTACCCAGGCTGGTCTTGAACTGCTGGGCTCAAGTGATCCACCTGCCTTGGCCTCCCCAAGTGCTAAAATGTTAAATGTATTAACGTAAAATTATTTGCAATATTCCTTTATTTTATTTTTAATGTCAGTATGATTTGTAGTGATATTCCCTCTTTTATCCCTGGTGTTGATATGGGATTTCTCTTTTTTTTTTTTTTCCTAATAAATATTTGGCTTTAATTTTCTCTATTATTTGTCTCTTTTCTATTTCATTGATTGGTATTATTATTTTTTTTTCTACTTACTTCACATTTTTAAAGCTTCTTAAGTAGAAACTTAGACCACTGATTTTTTTTAAAAACCATCCTTCCTTTTCAACATAGATATTTAAAGCTAAAAATTTCCCTCTAAACACAGCTTGAGCTGCATTCACAAATTTGGGTATACTATATTTTCATTACTGAGTAGTAATGAAATTCATTACTGAATATTTCATAATTTCAACTGGGTTATTCCTTGACTCTTGGATAGTATGAAAGAGTGTTTTCTAATTTCCAAACATCTGAGGCTTTTCGGCTATTTTATTGTTACTGACTTCTAATTTAATTTCCTTGTGATCAAAGAACATAATCTGTGTAATTTTAATCATTTGAAAATTCTTCAGCCTTACTATGGACTATCTTGTGAACATTCTATGTGCATTTGAAAATAATGCATATTCTGCTGTTGTTGAGTCTGATGCTTTATAAATGACAATTAAGACAAGACCTTTGATAGTGTTGATCAAATCATCTATATCCTTATTATTTTGCCTAGGCTGTTTTCATACCAGTTAGGAAAGACTGGTTTTAAAACCTTCAGCTATGCTAATGGGTTTGCCTCTTTTTCTCTTTAGTAGTCCGTTTTTGCTTCATGTATTTTAAAACCTTATTATACCCATGTATAATAATTTTAAATGAGCATACACATTTAAAATACAAAGGAGGATTTAATCTTAATGAGGTGACCATTTTTATTACTAGTCACCTTTCTTTAACTCTGATAATATATTGCTTCCAAGTCTTATCTTTCCTGATATTAATAAAACCATTGTTTTGTTATTATTAGCATTTGCATGGCATATGTTTTTCCATCCTTTTATTTTCAACGTACATGTGCCCTTGTCTTTATAGTACATCTCTTATAAACAGCATAGAGCTGGGCCATGCTTTTTAAAAAATTTCATATGACAATCTAAACCTTTTCATTGGGCTGCTTAGTCTATTTACATGTAATGTATTGATATGATTAGATTGAAATCAACCAACTTATTCGTTTTCTATTTGTCTCAACTATATTTTATTCTACTTCTCTTTTCTTACCTTCTTTTGAATTAATCAAAAAAATTTTTAGGAGTCTGATTTAATTCCTCCTTTGTATTTTGCCTTATGCTTCCTTGCACTGTTTTTAGTTGTGACTCTGTGGATTACAATGTGCACCATTAATATACTAATGTCTACTTAAAGGGAAGATTACACACTAGGAAGCTTGCTGTAGTGTAGTTTCTCTTATACCTCCATCCTTTGTGCTCTCATTGTCATACATATTGCATCTACATATGTCATAAACCCTACCAAACAGTATTATAATTTTTGCTTTATATAGTTATAGCCTTTTAAAGAAATTAAAGGCAAGTAAAATTATATTTTGTCTTTTTATATTACCCACATATTTACGGTTTCTGTTGTTCTTCATATTTTCCTACAGATCTGAATACCTATCTAGTATCATGTCTCAACACTCTGAAGAACTTGCTTCATATATCTCCATCGTTATTTTCTTCTGTAATTATTTCCTCAAATATTTGTCTTCCCCATTCTTTTTCCTCTCCTTTTGGGACTCCAATTAAATGTATTTCAGATCACTTATTATCTCACAGGTCAAGTACTCATTATTCATTTTACCTACTTTTCAGATTGGGTAACTTACACTGACACATCTCCAAGGCTACTGTCTCTTCTTCTGATATCTTCAACCTCATACAGTAAAATTTTCACTTTACTGTGCTTTTCAATTTTATAACTGACACCTGGTTATTTTTATGGTTTCAATTTCTCTATTAAGACTCCCCATCTGTGCATTCATTACACTCACACTTTTCTTTAGTTTTTAACATATTTATGAAAGTTTTGTAAAAACCTTCATCTGCTAATTCCAACATCTGGGTCATCTCAGGGTCAGTTTTTACTACCTACATTTTTTCTTAACTGTAGGTCATCTTTTCCTGTTTCCATACATACCTAGTAAATTTTTATCATATACTGGACATAGTGAACAAAACACTGTCAATATTCAGAATTCAGTTTTGTTCCTCTGAAGAGCGATGATTTTTGTTCTAGCAGGAAGTAAAAGTGTAAACTCTGCAGTGAGTGACAGCTGACATCTTTGCTCAAATCTTTTAGTTTCCAGTTGCTGTTTTTACCATTAAAGTGTGCGTTCATGCTTCAATGATCAGCAGTGGACTGGGACAGGGTTTATATGTGGATGTGGAGTCTCCCACTCTCTGAGCTTCTCTTCTTTCATAGATTCCCTCTAATTAGCTGCTCTGCAGTCCCAAAGTATATCTTCTTAGTAACTTACTAAGACTGAGGCTTTCTGCCACCCCATGCTGCCTGGATAAGTAGGTGTTCTCAGGGAAAAAGCTTCAAACACAGAAATACCATCAAAGACCCATCTGGTCTCTCAAGGGTTAACTTCCCTCTACCTTCTGCCTGTTTTGGGTTGCTATCCAGTGCCTTCATATAGCTGGTTTTAGATGTTTTGTTTATCATATTTTGTCCAGATTTCATAATTGCTATCTGTGTTAGTCTGATTGTGCCACTCTGCCATTATCAGAACCAGAGCCTTGACTATTGATTTCTGTCTATGATTAATCAATAAAAATCATGAACTACAAACTGTCCAGCATATCTACACACCAAAAGATTAAAACTACTGGCTAATAAATTTCAAAGAAATTATTTTGGCTTCAGGGCCCCAAATTCCTCCATATTTGCAAATTCTATTAAGTAGATGGGGAGAAAGTAAGTTTGAATCCCAGCTCCTCCACCTGATTTTAACTTCTGCACCAAGGAAATACCAAGCTTGTATGTTAAATATAAGTGTGGATTTGGAGTAATGAGTGTAAACACTGAGACAATGCCCAGGATAAAGTCTCATAAAAAGTGGCTTCTGCTGCCATTACCATTAAGTGCTTCTACTGTATTAAATATATCAAAATGAAATTTAAGAAGCTTTACCCAGAAGCTCAATATTGCTTTCTATTTTATTAGAATTTAATAAACAGAAGAGTTCCTGCAACTCATACTTTTCTGTGTGTGAGGGGTAGAAGAAGATGAAAGATTTGAGACCAGCATAATACTATAGTACATTGAAGGTGATGAGGATTTTCTCTGAGAGCTTACAAAATAAGGTTCACCTTTGAGATGCTGGTCAGTGTTCCTTCTCAAACTGACATTATCTGCTTAATGGCTTGGCACCATGAAAATCTGTCCAGCTTACTTCAAAGAGTTTGTTAGACCATATTTGGACTCACCCTGTTTAATGGTTAAGAGAGAAACTTAGAATGGAAAACTCTAAGAAAGGAGTTTCCTATCTTCAGACACAATTATCCAATTCACTTCATAGGTAGATGATTGAGCACTGTCTCAGACTCAAAGTAAATAATTTTCATTGCATCCTTCAATCTTGGATACTTTTTAAAATGTGAATCCTTTTTCTTTCTGAGCCATTGAAGAAAATCAAAGACTTTTGACTTTGAACATCACACAGCCCACAAAAAAGAAAGTTTTGTTTAAAGTAATACATAAAATTATGCTTAGCATTGCTCCAGAAGGAGAGTAGCAATCTTTCTGTGGTTTTAGCATCACTTAGTGGTTATATACATAAAATACTCCTTCTACTCCAAAGCAAAAAAGGGGGGAAAATACATTTTTGAAGAAGCTGTTTATAAAAGAACATCAAACAGAAAACAAAAACAGTAAGAAATCACTTATTCAAAATACTAGATGCATAGTTCTACAATCAGTCACAGGACAGGGTTCAATTATGCAGGAAAGTAGGAAGGGTTAAATCATCAATATCCATGGATCATATATTCTTACCAAGGCTTCATGATCTTCTGCAATTTCTGGTATCGCCTGCAAAATTTAAAAACAACCATGTGAGGGGCGTACTTAAAAGCAATGATTTTTACATAAAGAACATATCTTGAAGAAAACTCAGGATTAGATTTAGGACAGATTTAACTACCATGAAGTAAAAGAACTTTATCCATTTCAAGACATCATTCAAAGTAACAAACTGGTGTTCTTTAATGATCAGAAACAGTCAATCAAAAGATCAGCATTAAACTACTGTCATCAACCAGTTGCATTTGCTTATGAGTAAAGGCATCCAGAACCGTCCATTTAGATCAGAATGGGTCTGTGTTCAATGGAGCGGGGGGTACACAAAGGGATAGGAATTGATAAATTTTCAATGAAAAAACATTGAGCCAAAAAGCACTAGACTATAAAGAAATAATTTATTATCTTTCTTTGGTAGAATGTCCACTAATTTTACTTGCTCTGTCCTCCCTCATGTGGCTTCTTCTGCGGGAAGACGTTGCAATCAATCTCTTTGCAATAAGACATTGCACTAGTATTGAACTCCAAAACTGGAACTCTGGGCTGGTGGCTTAGAATAGGCAAATCTGGCTACAAGAAAGGGTAATTATTATTATTATTTTTAAAAAAAAACTAGGGTCAAGAATATGAAGAAATAAATGTTTCTAAACTGCCCAAACCATCTCCCATTCCTCAAGTCTGCCAAATCTCTCTGGCTTTAAGTATGATCTTCCCTCTATAGGAAACATCCATCCCCTCTTTGCCCAACTCACTAAGTCCCACCCCCAAACTCATCTCATTCTAGGCTCCTCTGGGAAGTCTCTCTGATTTCTGATTTCTCTTCCTCAGACAGCATAGGTAGTGCCTGCATCTACAGGCCACAGGCCCTGAGGACACATCAGCTATAAGCCTCAGGACATCTCACTGTCCTTCTAGCTGTTTAAGGGCTGGGGCTCTGCACTGTGGCAATAGTGTAATGTGAGGCACATCCCGAGTAGGGACTGACATGGCTGACAAATGATTTTACTCTTCAGAAATGTTCACATTCTCAACCATATAAAATGTACCCACTTCAGAAACTCAAGTCACCAGGTGAAGACTAAATTTAGTCTCTGGTAAAATTTGCGGGAAGAGGATTGAAAATGTATATAAAGAGATCTTTTTCTTCCTTTTCTGCTCCCCCTCCTCTACCTGTCTTTTCTTTTAAAAAATATTTACTATTTCCTACCCTTCCTTCATCAAAAAGGAACTGTGCAGGGTGAAAGGGTGAAAGGGGGAGAAGGGGAAGCAGGCCCGAGCAGAAGTTGGCAGCACGCAAGGGCCAGAGGCTACTCTCCACTAAAAGGAACTGGGGCTCCTTGGGGAAGTGGCTCATGTTAGGGGGTGGGGCAAGGAGATCTAGATAATTCTGGAACATCTTGTTAAGCCAGAAAGTAAAGAAATGCTCAAAACATAATGAAATACAGGTCAAAAGGACACAGAAGTCACCTTAGAAAAGCTTCCACAGGCCAAATCAGGGACACGTTGAACATCAAAATCAATAATAATAGTGATAGATTAAGCCCACTGAATAAAACAGGAATGAATGAGTTCACATTGTTACAGAGTGATGTGCTGATGTTGAAACACCAGATCTCTGGGGAAAAACACACAAATCTGCTTGATATTGTTTTCCAATTTCCACGGTGTAACAACTCTCACTACGGCCAACTTAAAGAACCAACATGAGATCAACGAACGCAGAGCGGAACAGAATTGTACAAAAGTGGCTCTCAGGAACTAGTATGAGCTCCCCACGGGAGATAAACATGTAGGTGAATAAATACATAGGGAAAAAACAGAGCTCTTACTACCAAAGAAAACCAACTAATACATGTAGAAGAAATAATAATATTCGAAAATTCCCCTTTGGAAATCATCAGAGCAATAATTAATTCAGATAAGAAATGTCAATGCCAAAACTGATGGGTGAAATTGGGGTGAGCAATGAGGCTTTACATAGTTTCACTGTGTCTCCCTACAAACTTTTCATGAATTAGCTGCTAAGGGAGGGAGAAAGTATTACAGTGGAGACATCTGGAAGATGCTATCTTAATGAAGCAGTCAAAGTTACCACCAGTAATAAAACAAAGAGATACCATGTGCCATCAACAGGACAAAATGGGAAAAAAAAAATCACAACCATCTGTTGTATTCCAGCCAAAGACGTACAATATGGGTCTCCATAAGGAGAAGGGAAATTTTTGTTGTAATGTTTGTTGTGATGAGAGAACACTGGAAAAATGTGTAAAAAACAAAATTCTGTGTTTCAGTAAAAAACTAAGCAGTGCCTACAACATATCCTTTGGGCTATGAGATTCTAGGCCTGTTGGCTTTGAGTTATTTTACAACTCTTTGTAAGGTGTAGGTAACTGATGTGTGTGTATATACATATATATATCCTGTCTTGCAGTGATTTAATTGACTTCCTTTCCACTGGTGGAAAACCAGTTTTGTCTCCATTTGCAATTCATCTCAACATTCCTCTCCTTCATATATATTTGTGCTCTTTTGACCTTTCCTTTAAAGTTACAATATCTGCCTGGTTTCACCATACCATATGGGTAAAATAAATTATTTTAACACACGTTTATTTGTATATCTGAAATCAAAATGTAATATAGAGGGAAACCTCTAAATTAAACATTTTGCTGGGGAATCACAGAATTGCAATTTGAAGCATACACATAGACCAGTAGACTTTGGTATGTCTGAGGAACAAAGAAAACATTGGGATTTTTATTAGAAATAGGAATGTTACCTATGGTTTTGAAAGAAAGTTTATAGGCACAAGAATTTTTGAGAGCTGCTAAGCTCTGATTGCAGTGGTAGGTAAAACCAGTCCTAGAGTCACAGCAGGTCATTCCAGCAGCTACTAGATTAAACTGGTCTTAGGGTTACATCAGGCCACCTTAGCAGCTGGGCTTGCAGATAATTCAATTCTTGGAGTAGGTGCACCATGTGCCCATGTGCTTTTTGCCTCCGTTCCTCAACTGTGACTTAGTTGGGTGTGACAAGAATTACCCAATTTGTACAATCAATGTTCACATCTGTATGAGAGTTATGATTTTACTTTCCCATGAAAATTACCTTTAACAAATTACCCTTTAACAAACCCAAATTAGAGGGTATTCTATAAAATGGCTAACCTATAATTTGAAAACACCAAAGTCATGAAAGAAAAGGAGTGAGTGAAGAACAATTCCAGATCAGAGGGGACTAGGAGGAGACGGGCCACCTGTGTGCAAGGTGCCACCTGGAGCTAGATTCTTTCCATTAAAGGATGGAGCTGGGACAATGGGTGAAACTTAAATGGGGTCTCCAGGAAAAGAGCAAGTGGCGATTTTCTGCTTTGTTCTCGCAAGTTTTAAGTTTAAAAAGGTTTTGAAATAAAATTTTGTGTGTGTGTGTGTGTGTGTGTGTGTGTGTGTGTAATATATAAAGCGGTCGCTGTAAAGTTTTAAAATAACTTTCTGGCCTGGGGCCTGAGCATGCTTATGGTTTTTATACGAGTTCCGCCTCCTCCAGTATCCATGACCTTGGAGAGCTCTCCCTGACCAGAGCACAGACATAACTCAGTGCTGAGTCACAGTGCTTCATACTCCTCAAATTTGCACCCTCACTTTGGCTTCAGATTACGCATAAGGAGAAGAGAAACTGTTGTTGCAACGTCTGTCTACTGCCTTAAGTGGGATTTTGTGTGTCTGTGTCTGTCTGTCTGTCTCTCTCGCTTTCTCTCAGTATACCCATTTTTTTTAGAGAAACGTGACTAGAAGAGAAATTACTCTGGAAAGGTTGATGTTTCACAGTGGCCAGAAACCTCTCACCTCAGCCCAAGGAATAGCAACTTTTCTTTTTTTTTTTCGCCAGCAGAAGATAATCTGTTCTTCAAATGGGCTGTGTGACCCCTTCGCATTTCCATTACCAGAGTGAAGGACAAAGAGGCACAGAGAAAGCAAAAGGAGTGAGGAGGGGGCAGATCCTGTTTAGGGAATTTTCTGCCACACAATCTCTGACAAAGCCCAAGAAGGTTGGCCTCTTTGGCCTTTGTGATGCAAATTTCTGGCAGAGCCCTCAAGAGCTGTTCAGTTGGAGCTCCCTGAGCAATGCAGAGTGCACTGCAGGCTCCAGGAAAACAGCAGACAGCGCTGGGAAGATGTGGCAGCCTTCACAGCTGGGGTTGACTGCAGAGACCACAGGAGCAGCTTCTTTCTGGCTGGGTCTGTCGTCTCCGAGGAGGTAAAGTGCAAAACGTGCATGGTGTCAGCTGGCCTTGGCTGCAAGGCAGTCAGTAGATGAATCACTTTGGCCTGCACTGGAACTTCCAGAACAGCCAAGGCTTCTAAGAGACACCAAGTTCTCAGAGTCAATGGCGTAAGTTAGAGCTGATCATCTGTGTCCTTGGAGGTTAACAAAGTTTCAAAAAAGACATTTATCTTTTGTGTGAAGGCAAAATTCCAGAAAAGGTCACACATAATGGAAAACTGTCATACACATCTTTGTGTTATCCTCTATGCACCTCCTCTTACCCCTCACATGCCTAACCCAGTGTCAGGAGTATGGTTCAGCATTCAGTAATACGCATTTTGCTAAAGGAATAAAACATACAAATCCATCTCAAGTGTGGGTGCTAGGGAACATCAAAGCAAAGTGTATAATTCAAGTCATACCTCAGTTTTCACAACACCCAGAAAATGAAAACAGCTCTGGTTCAGGCAAGATGAAAAGAATTTGAATAGCGAAAGGTTAATATGAGACAGAGGGAACCTGTTTTAAGACTGTTCTAGTATTAATGCAACAATGACAATTTTTATATACATGTCATCCATACACACAGCAATAGACTTTTCCATCTGTGTCATATGTATGACACAGTACGGAGGGGACTAATAATTTATACAATTAATGTTTCTTTTTAAGACAATTACGTAAGAACTTTACATATCACTAAAATAACTATGGGACTCCTTCCAATGTTTCTAATACTACAGCCA